TATATATATATATATTATGTATATATATATATATTATGTATATATGTATATCATATATACAAATATATTATATATAATATATTATATTATATATATCATATATATTATATATATACATTATGTATATATCTATATATTATATATATATGTCTTTAGAAATAAGTTCGTGAACCAGACCCTTGCTTGTATGGATGGAAGGAAACTGATGGGAAGTTACTTCCTCGGTGGATGTCTGTCCCACAGGTTGCATCAGTCTGCCAGGAACTAGTAAAATGTGGCTGTAAGAGACCATGTAGCCGAGCCTGCAGTTGCTTTAAGAAGGGCCTACCCTGCACAGCCCTATGTAAATGTCTGTGCAGCAGTTTGTAAATAGAAGGATACTTTTATTTTTACACAAAATAATGAGATAACTTTACTCATGTATTTCAATCTGTGATTCGAGGCATTTTTCATGACATAAAATTATAATTTAATTTTAATAAGCAGTCTTTTTCATTTAAATTGATAAGTGATTATCATTTTCATTAGTTATATGTAAAATTGACAGCTTTGTTTTATGTAGGGTAGTACAATCATGTAATACGTGAAAGTGATGCATTGGGAGAAATATAAAATTCATATACTATTTACTAGATGAAAACTGTATATAGAGATTACGTAAACAAAACACATTATGCATGTCTAGAAGCGGTACGCTTATTATACCTTTGAGCTAATGATGGATTAAGACACAGTATTTACATGAACTGCACATTATTCTGAAACTTAAATTGTGAATGTTAAATAAGTGTATAAAAAATATGGCCTGTATTTTTCATATGCATTTTACTTTCTCACGTATGTACCTTTGTATATCTGTACCTAAAAAGATAAATCACGGCAATGTTCCAGAAAAAATTATGTTGTGTGATAAGTTATACATATACTATGCCAAAACAAAAAAGTTAACCCTAACTAATGGATCTCAGGACTATCTGTGAGTGAGGTCATGAAATGTTACCCATACATAATTCACTTTTATTTTCTTATTTATCAACATAGAACTTTCGTTTTGGTATCATTTTATAGGTAATTCAATGGTGCATAACTTTTATTTAGAAAACATTTTCAGTATTCAAGTCTATATACATGTTTCTGGAAGGATTATACCAATGATCCTATTTATTACCGACCATTTTCTTGCATAAATGACTTATACTGTTTTTTGGCTAAACTTAATTGACAAAATAATGGTATATTCGGATTCGTCATGCAATAGAACATAAGAAACGGTATATCATTCACGAATTAATGTTACCTGCTAGGAGAAATAAATGCGATATGTAAGAGATGTATTTTCGTATACCCCGAAACCCCTGCCCCCCCCCCTTGGGACCCTAAGGGACATTTTTTTCTGCCCCCCTTCCAGATCACTTATTTATGACCCAAGGGATCAGGAAAACACCATGGGCAAACTTTAACATGTCACCTGAATCACCGTCTCTATTAGTCATGCCCACTATATCTATCTATATATACTATTACGGTTGCAGTTGTTTGACGAGATTATATCTTAGTCTAGGGAATGATGTAACTACAAATCCATAATAACGTTTGATGCAATAGGCTTAACCTCCATGCATTATGATATTTCTATATATTTTCCAGGTTCTTTAAGTATATTTAGTTTATTAAGTTTGTATTAGAATTGTTTATGTAGTTTCATTTAGTGTTTTCAGATATTAGAATTGTATATAGATTTACTTAGTTTAGCTTTTATTTCTTTTTATTTCTTATATTACTTTCATGGAAATGTATAAACGCAAGTAATGTCTTATTTTTATTTATCAACACCCGAAGCCATTACCAATACTTTACATTACCCGAAACCATTATACAAAACATCATGAATAATTATCCTTAATTAACAACAACACACTATCAATATTCTCGTTGTAGATATGATTATGTGTATCTTACGATTTTCTGTAGTAAACGGCACAAGATTCTTGGGGTCACAGCTGAGGCGTAGCGAGGTTAGTCGACCGAGCTGCCCAGTTCAGTGGCTGAAAAACTCTTGTATCTTAGATGAACTAAAGGAGGAGGAGGAGGAGGATTCCTTAGGTTAAGGAGGGGAAGGGAAGCTATGGTAGCTGTGTGTGTGTGTGTGTGTGTATCTTTTTGTTTTCTATTTTCCAAAGTTCTTTCTCGTCTTTTCCGACCCCTTTTCCTTCTTCTCTTTCTATTTCCTTCAGGTGGCAACTTTTACCTTTGCTTCATCTTCTTCCTGTCCCATTCTCTATATACGCATATTCCCCCCTCTCCTTCCTGCTCTTCCGTTTAATCTATCTTGCTTCATTGCTCTCTCCCTCCCCCAACCCCCTCTTCTTCTCCTCTGTGTCTCCTTCTCCCCCTAATCCTCCAATCCCCAACCCCTCCCCCCGCCTCCTGGAGCAAGAAGCGTCTCGTCCGTGCAAGAGAAAAAAATAGTATAATTTTCACCGCCATTTGAGCTTATAAC